GATTTACTCACTGGCGAAAGGTAAAGTGAAGGTGAAGACAGAAGATAACTCCAAGCAAAGTCACCAACACTACAGTGGGTCACTATTCAAAGAGAATAATCACATTTTTCATTGTACTGTTCCATATTTTATAATAATAAATGCAATATTATGTGATTCCTTCCAAGGTCAATGACTGGGAGGCAGCAGACACTTAAATATTTATTGTTGGATGAATGAATGGCAGCGTGACTATTGACATTTTAGAGAGGAAGGAATGGGTACAAGGACCTGAAGGGGCCAGTCCTGTGTTCCACCACAGATGGAGGGGAGATGAGTTTTTAATTTGCTAGTGATTCCTCAACCTGTGTCCAGATTACTGACTTTACATCCTTATTTCTTTCCTGCAGCAAATTCTACCTTGCACAGATCCACCAGTGACAATGCACATGTCCCTAAAGCAGTAAGAACACTGGCTCTGGAGCCAGGTGGACTGGGTTCTTGATCTTAACTCTTGATATTTACTGGCTGAAGACAGGGCACTCACCATTTATAAACTGGGGAGAATAATAGTATCTACCTTACAGAATCGTTGTGAAGATTAATTTTGAAATAGTCTACGTCAAGTACTTAAGCCCCTAGTAAAAGCTTGACAGATTGTCAACCACTATTTCATTCTTACTAAAAGAAGCTATGAATTCCAAAAATGTCAATGTCATAAAAACAAAGACAGACAGACGGTATGTCCCAAAGGAAAAGAGATTTGACAACATAGTGCAATAGATGATTCTTGACTGGATCCTATAACGGAGGGGAAAAAATGCTATAACAGACATTATTGGGTCAGTTGACAACATTGCTACTATACTTGAATCTACTGTCTGTATTACAATGTTAAATTTACTGAAGTTGATAAAGGTACTATGATTATATATTTGGGAATAAAGGGCCATGATATATGCAACTTTCAAATGATTCAAATGAGAGAAAAAGAGAAAACAATAAAGCACATGGAACAAAATGTTAATAGGCAAATATAAGTAAAAGGTAGACAATAGTTCTTCGTACTGTTTTTGCAACCTTTTTTTGGTAAGTTGAAAATTATTTTCAAGCAAAAAGTTAAACGAGAAGAAGTAATAAACTGAAACTTCAAGTCTAACTCAGAATAGTCCAGTCTCCTGCAGTTCTTAGATTTTGATTTTTCCCTCCACTGCAATAGCTTAGATACCCCTCTAGTGCAAAACCTCTTCCAGACAGTCAAACTTGTCCCAATGTCCTTCTTGAACAGTACCCAGAGCATAAAACAGGAAATAGGCCAGAGTGCTTCAGAAGAGGCAACAAATCATTTCTCTTAAGAGTTCATCTCCAAGTGGTTTCCCTTTTCGTGAGAAGTGGTTGATAATCGCTCTGTGACTGGCTTCTACTCACCTCACCTGTACCACTCTCCTCACCAACCCTTCTCGCTCCACACACAATGGCCTTCTTTGGGTTCCTCAGACAAGCCAAACTTTCTGCTTTGGAGCACCTGGACCTGCTGTGCTCCTCCCCTGAGATGTCTTCTCCCTGATCGCCAGTGATTGGCACCTTTTTGTCATTCAGATTTGAAATTAAACGTTACATCTGCAAAGTGACCTTCCCTGCTATCGCCACTCACTCTATCTCAATGAGTCACGTAGAGCTTAGAACGCTACCTGGGATAGAGCGAGAGCTCAACGGGTATGGCTGAGGAACAAGACAAGCTACTCCTATTCATAAGACAACTTGGGTTTTCCTTCTCTTCCACCTCACTCACTTCACTCATTTTCTCATTACACAGTCACTTAAAGTACTAGAGTTGTTGTCTGCATAGCTATATCCCTACCAAATTTTAAGCTGCTTTCAGAAAAGAGCTATAGCTCCACCCTCCTATTGCCAGTGCCTACCCCAACACATTTCCAAGGCACCAATAATTCAACCAGAAAAGATTCATAGTTCCAGAGCATAAAGAAATGTTTACATTGTGTCTTTCCACCATCCTAAAGCTCAATAATAGCAAATATTAACAATAAGAGTTAATAGCTATTGAGCACTTATTATGACCCGGCTCCCATGATAAGTGTTTTAAATATTCTATCTCCTTGAATCTTCATTATAACCTTGTTAGCTAAGGTATTGTTATTACTGCCATTTTATAGATAAGAACTTGAGGCTTAGAGAAGTTAAATTACTTGCCTAAGGGTTTACAGCAGCAGCAGAGGCACAACTCAAATCTAGGCAGTGGATCCCTAAAGCCCATGCTTTCTACCATCCTAGAACAGCTGGAGAAAACGTGGTGTGCTGTTTGCCCTTTCCACTTCCATTCTGTCAAATCGATCTACCCATCATCACGCGGACACTTGTACATGTGGTAGCAAGCTGCCTTACCCCCAAGGGGCTGCTCAAGTGCTATACTGCGAAAGGCATCACTGAAAGAGTCCATTGTCCACAATAATTCTCAACCATCCCACTAGACTGACTGAAAATCCTCCATCCGGGAGCCATTCTTTAAGCGCTGCAAAATCCCTTGTTACAACCCAAATATTATCAAAAGGGTTAAGTGCCTACAACTAGTATGAGTCAAAAAATATTTTGAAGTGAATTATTCAGATTATCCAGCAGTGCTCTGAGGAATGGAACCCATCCAGTTAAGGTTAGGTCACGGAAAAAAGAAATTTCAAGAAACGTCTAGTGGTATCATCCTTGAAGACGAGATCAAGGTCAGGTGCAAGGACAAGCATCCACATATGTGTACCAAAGGGCAAGGAATCAGAGGAGGGAGGCTGGGCTTTGAAGAAAAAATTGCAGATGGTATGGAAAATCTCCCTCTGCAAAAGGCTGCTTTAGAATCAGCCCCAAACAGCAGCGTTCAGAAGTTATTCATATGCAGCAGAGCAAAAACCACAGAGCAGGGAGGTAGGTGCCTGCTCCATTCAGCTCGAGAATACTGGTCTTCATCAAATTAGAGCCAACAAAGAGCTAGATAAAAGCCAACAAGCCAGTCATTGTCTAAAAAAGCAGATGTTCACGCTACACATAACATTACAGCATCAGGGAAAGGGTTTCTAGGCACTTTTCACACTTGAAAACACTTCTCCTCCCACCCCTGGCTGGCTGGTTTTAGTACCTGTGCTTCCCCCCCTGGGGCCCTCGACCCCTCACAAAATGGCATTGAAGCTGCTTTCACACATGACTGGGTGCCTTCCGCCCTGGGCCACTTCAAGGCGGGCAACCTCCCCCGGCTGCCAGGGTGATGTATGAAATCCCTGGAGGCAAGAGGAAAAGGCAGGCAGGGGGTCTCCTAAAGTGGGAACCACTGCAGGAACCTCATTACGGTTGGCAGGTGGCAAGGAGCAAGGTCTCTGAGGGGGCTGGAGATCCTGAGGCCACGGGGATCTTGGGGGCTGAGGAGCCCACTGGGGACAAGGACAACTTATCTAGTTTCTTCAAGTAACAGGACAACCATCCAAGACAATACTTCCCAAACTTCAGTCGTTTGAGTACTACTCTGCACGCGTTTTCACATCCCCATCCTCACCTATACTCTATTTATCAATCACTTCTCTTTATCTTGACTAGATGTTTGCATTTAAATACATTTATTTTAAAAAGGAAACTTTATATCATTGTGAAATCGCTCGTGGAATGGAAGTTTTTCCTAATACTAACAGAAACATAACCACGTTGGTCCACCTGCCACCTCGAATCATTGCCGTTACCCCAGCGCTGCCACCCAGAGTCCCCAGCTTCGGGAAGCACAAGCCATCCCTGAGAGGCCAAGGGTTCGAGCCCGGGGCTGACTGGCACTTCCCGCCTCTTCCCTCTAACTGAGCCTAAGGTCCAGGGGACTCACCGGGACTCTGCACACCCCTCGCCCACGTCCTGCGGCCGCCCCTCCCCTCCAGCAGCACGTTTCCTGTCAAAACAAACCCTGAAGGGAGGGGACCGCGGGGCCCGAGCCGAGCGCCGCGGAAACCTCGGCAACAAACCCCAAACACACGCCGCGGGCCCCGCCCGTCCCCACCGCGGCTCGGTTCGCCCATCCCGGCCGGGCCGGGGGCCGCAGGCCAGACGGGTGCCCCCTCCTGGAGCCCGGACGGATGGTGGGAAGCCGCTCGCAGCGCGGTCGCTGGCACGGGCCCAGCGGCATGGAAACAGCGCCAAGCGGCCGCGACCCCACCGAAGCCCGCGGCCACCCTGACACACGCCTCGCTCCCACGCGGGACGGCGGTTCGAGGTCAAACAAGGGGGGTGGGGGGAGCAAGAAGCGCGGCTTCCTCGCCCCCGACGCCGGCGTCCCAGGACCGAGTTCCGAGGTGGGGCGGGGGAGGCCCTCGGGCTGCCCTGGGGCGAGGTGTCCCCCTCCGCCGGCCCAGGCCCATCACCTCAGAGCCGGCGACACGCTCCCCCGGGATGGATACGCACCGGGTCCCGCGCGGAGACAGGCGGAGGAGAAAGCGACTGAGCGAGCCCGGGTCGCGGGGTGGGGTAGGTGGGTCTCTGAGTGTCCCCTCACTGAGCACGGTGAAAACACCTCGAAAACTCACCAGTCCAACAACCCCCCGCCTCCCCGACCCCCCCACGCGGTATTTAAAGGGCCGGGAGAGACTCTAGGGAGGCAGCCACGGCGTGGCCATCACACAACCGGCGAGCGGGGGGAAGACGGCACAGGGGCCAGGGGAAATCCAGGGCACTTCGGGCTCTGACAGCAGAGCGGTGACAGATTTGACCTACTACAGAACATTTTCCCTCATGTTTAGATGAAAGAGGCCGAGGAGAGCTTGGATTGGAGGTGTTTGGGATGCGCGAGAGAGCGTTCCCCCCCGCGGGCTGCGAGTGGTGCGGTCCAGGGACTGCTAGGGGCGGGGAGAGAAGTGTTTACGGAACTGGGGCAGCCGTGCCGCCCGGAGCACCCGGCGTTGGAGGCGGGGCCTGCAGGGGCCCTAGGGGGCGGGGCCGAGTGGGGCGCGGAGGGCGGGGCGGAGCGGGGGCGCTGGGGGCGGGGCGAAGCCGTCGGCGGATCGGCTCGTGGAGCGCTGGACTGACCTCCCTAGGCTTCCGGGGCGCCCCAGCGTGGACCATGCTGCAAGCTTCCGGCCGGCGGGGGGACGTTTTACTGCGGAACACCCCTCATCTAGACGGGGCGATCTAAATTGGGTGCCCACCATCACACCGTCCGCGCATACAGAGACAACCCAACCGACAACGTGGCAAGTATGTTCCCACGGACGTCGGCAACCTAGCGTGTCACGGACGTTTGTATCTGCACCTCCACGTAAACACGAATCCAGATTTGCATGTGGCTGGACGGGACGATTAGCTACTGGAGTTACCCCCACCCAGGCTCTCTGAAGACGTAAACTTGGTGTGCGTGCAAAAGATAACGCATCTTACTTCCTCTAGGGTTGTTGGCAGCACCTATCTCTGGGAGAAGTTTCGACATGAGTTAATGTAAATAAGCAGTCCCAGGATGGGCTCTGTGCGGTCAGGCCTACTGTTCAGCTCCTGTGGGCATGCTGCAGGGTGTAGAGAAACACCCTTCCCCCGACCGCGCACAGGGAAGCCATTGTATCTTCTGCCGGGTGTCAGGTGGTATTATTTGGGGGAGAGTTTCCTCCAGGAATGTAAGTGAATTTTGAATAGGTTTAAGTATTTCTATTTAGTGCTGAAATTATGTCTGGATTGTGGAGGTAGAATTGATTCTAGAAGAAAACCAGACAGGCAACATTTTAAAGGAGGCTGGAAAGCAACTTACCTAGATGGAATAATTCAGTGTTACAACATAGAGTCTTCTTGAGTTCAAACTCTGGCTCTGTCATTTACTACCCATGAGATGATAACTATCTCACTGGGTTATTGTGAGGATGAAATGGGATAAAGCATGTGAAATGCTTAGAGCTATACACAGTAAGCACTCAGTGTTAGTTATTGAAACTATTTGGTAAACTACTCTGAACAAACTTAGCTGGTGATCTGTATAAATTTTTATTTGTGTGTCCTTATGCCACTCTCTCCTCCTTTTTCCTAAAATGTACAGATCAAGAGATTGAAGAGAAAATGTGGTTGCCACCAAGATTCTTTCCTATGAACATGCCCGTGTTTATATCATTTGTTGGAATCAGCAGTCAGGATGAGAGAAGCCTCCAATTTCAATTCTTGCCAAATAATAACCGCCATACAACAACTGCCATCACCACCCTAAAAACTCCACAATAGCAAGATTAACCAAAAATATCCCCAAACTTCTGGACACTGTGACAATGACACATGGCAGCTTTGCTTCCTTTTTGAGCATTGTAGGAGCTTGTTAAGTACTGTTTTTATGCTATTATGTAACTTGGAGCAGATGAGCATGAGTCAGGAATTGTCCTGCCTACCTGGGTGACCAGCTACCTGACCCTAGGCATGGCACTTACATAAAGCCCAAATATGTAACTCTCAAAGCCACAAGGAAGCAGTTTTTGTCAAAGCAGATGAGTCAAGTTTCAGCTTGTGCTCTGGTGAGAACCTTGAGATGGAAGGGGGGTTGCGGGGGGGGTAACATCAGAGACTCAAGCCAGAGACAGAAAATATCCTGGAAACACAATCTTCTGTTACTTCGACATTAAGTAACTTGCTGTCTGGAGACCTTCTGGTCAATTACCTGACCAACTGCCCTTGGCCTGGCTTGTATATAAAAGCACTTTGAAAAAACATGGTGCTATAAAATATTAGACAGGTCACTTAAAAAAGGAACCTTGTATCACATTCTTGCTCAGAGAGCTCAGGCAATTAGCGTAAAGTCCTTCTTGCTCAAATTATGTTCATGACCTTCTGAAAACTGTGTCTGAAAAGGCAACCTCTTTAGTAAATAAAATAGTCAGCTTTTTATTTGAAAATGACGTTTTGTGACACCTAATTTTTCTAACCTTCCTTTTTTGAACCACCTAGGAAACTCCTGGTAATGAAGTCTGTTTTCCCCGTAAAATTAAGCAAGAGACTAAATTTGATTTGTTGCCTTTGGCAAATGACTATGGGCAGATCAAAATTTTGCTCAGTAAAGAAATGTAAGCACTTACTTTCTTTTTACACATCTTTAATCTGAGTTTTAAATTACAATGAATCCTTGAAATAAATCAGAAAATGCAAAAATGTACTTTTAATATGGATTTGCAAGCTCTCAACCATTTGACTTTTTTAGTGTAGCTGCATCTTGTGCTGATCTAGCATAATGCAAATTCAACTATACTACTCAGATAGGGCAAGGTGTGGGGAACACAACAGAATAATATACACCCTGGCAGTGATTTTGACCCCTATTCTTTCTCTGGGAGTGGGGAGCCCTCTCTTCTTGAGTTGCTCTCAGTTTCAGAGCTTCTCATTTTGTCCCAAGCTTCGTACCCAGGGCTGGCTTCATGGGTGTGCAACCTGTGCAGTTGCACGAGACCCTACACTTGGAAGAGCCCCACACTTGGTTTAATGTTCCGCTGCCACCATCTTGCAATTCTTAGCTTTTGAACAAGGGACCTTGCATTTTCATTTTGCACTGGGCCTTGCAAATTATGTAGCTGGTCCTGATCTCACCATCCAGAATACGTCTCGTGTTTAAAGGTACTTATTTTCCCTTAACCTGTCCCCACATGCAAATCAATTATTTTATCTAGTACTCAGATGAAGGAACATGTATCTGTTTCAATGCTGTAAGCAAAAACCTGAGTGTATCCCAGGTCTTATGGCCCACTTAAGGAAATTTCAAGGATGATTTTGAGTGCACATGATTTTGACCCTATGTTTTTTCTTTAGAATCTAATCCCTTACATAAGATGTGACTCCACTGTAAGTAGAAAAATTGATTAAATTGAGTCCCATCTCTTTTTCTCCCCCCGTCCATCTTAAGATGCTGGGAAGGGCTGAAAACAGGAAGAGGGGGCAGGCAATAGAAAGTAGAAGGAAGAAAATAATGTGGCTAACATAAACTAGATAATCGGTCACTGAACGTTCAAAATTTAACCAGACCTTCTTGTCAGATTTTGTCATTCTTTTTCTTTTTCTTTTGGTCTGGAAGATAAGGCAGCTCTAGATCATTGACCAGTTTTGACTGTTAATCAAAATGCTCATGCTTGATCAAGTTTCCAAAGCACCAAAACCAGTTTTTCCCTTGACTCCACTGAACTGAATTAGTATAAAATTGGAGGTTATTTCTCATTCTAGTTGCCTGTACCCTCATGCCTAGGACACAGCCCCAGACCCTAACCCCTTACATACTAAAAGGAAAAACATTGTTAGTATCCTGCCTTCACCCTCCTTGGGCCCTCTCCACTTACCTGGAAACCACTGTTGTCCCCTGGAAAGCAAAAGACAGAGTGAGGACCAGCAGTGAAGACAACTCTGGGCAGGAAGTAGGAGGGGCCAAGGAGAGTTGAGGCTCAGAGGAGCACCTATGGGAGGCCAAAGAGGTGATGGCTCAGAGCCCAGGCCAAGACAGTCACACTCCTTACCCCACCTCTGGGCCAGCAGGGAGTCATTTTCTAAATGCCTCCATAGTCCTGTTCAGGCTCGAGTGAACATTTAGGCCCTCACTTTAAAAGTCATTTCGAGTACCCAGTGGGGTGGGGGAAGAGCTTCTAAAATAAGAGGCAAAACTCAGAAGACACAAAGGAAAAGATTAAGAAATGTGACTCTTCAGATAGAGTGTTCAATATGAAAACATGAGTTTTAGAGCAATGATTATGTGGTGATACCATTTATGCTTGAAAGAGAATTTGCATTAGAGAGTGCATATGTGAATTCTGTATATATGAAATGCGTAGAAATGGACTACAAAGTTATCCTCCGAACTGTTTAAGAAGCAAGTAGAGAGATGTCCCTGATTTATTCTATATATATACAAATGGCTTATTTCTTTTACAGTAAGAATGTATTCATTCATATGTTACTAATGTAATTTCACGCTGCCATACAATGATACTGCTCTTATCATCGTATGTCCTCCTAAATATGCCTTAGTGGTGGGCTATTAACACTACCCAATAAATAACCTTCCTATTTCCTTTTTATTCATATTTTTAAAAGTCATGAGAGCAAGTGGAACGTTTCATATAAACTATAGAAAGGAATAGATTTGCGAAAGGCCCCTCACTGTGGTATGTCAACATTATGCTGGGTGGGAAAATACTAATCTTTACTTTTTAAGTTGTTCCCTTCAAGCCAATTCTTAGATAGTCAAAATACGTGGAATTTACTTTCATTTTAAAAACGTACTTTGCCCCAACCTGTGACCTCTAAAGTTTTCCTTCCTTTAATGATAAATTGGAAAGGTATTCTTTGCCGAAGTGGTATAGGACTTATATAATGCTACCACCTTTTGAGGATGAAAAATTGAGAGTCCTGACCATTCAGATGCATGTACGGTAGCTTTTAGCTGAGTTCCTGAGGGTCTGGTGAAAGGAATTATATTAGGGCACTGAGGGTTTATGAGTGACCAAACGGATGTTCAGTGACTCACTGAATTGGCAGGTCAAGAATAGAAACCAGAACCCATTTCATGGCTTCTCTTTCCACACACACATACGCGTAGTGTCACATGCAAAGTATTACCTTTTGGCATAATTATCTAATTTCCATAACAACATGTCAACAAGCATGCCAGCACTATATCAACTAAGTGCCCGAAGTATTTATAATTACATTCCATTACTCTAGAAGGGTGATTGGACCAGGAACTGGGGTGGCTATGCCTTCCAGAAAGCAAGGAGAATGGAATGCTGCCAAGTCTCCCAAAATATAAAGCTGTTTATGCTTCTCTCGTATATATATGAAGCAGTCAGAGCAAACAGGAGGTAAATTCTGCTACAAGGAAATCTGGAGTAAAGAGCAACAAGGTGTTTCTGGCTGATTCCTTGAGAAAGATTCCTGGGCATGACATTGTTCATATTACAAGTACACCTGCATGTACATAATCAGCAAATCCTGAAAACCTGTGTAGAACATAATTGTGTACAAGTGAATTTTAATGCTCAAGCCAAATTCTTTATTTCAAGGAAAGTTACTGTGATTATACTTGTAAATTAAAAAAATTTAAAAAAATTAAAATTTTTTTTAATTTACAAGTATATGTAGATCAAAGTTTTCAAAGAGAAAATCAATTAAGGTACAAACTAACTGTATATAAAGAACAAATGTGGTATCCTGGAAAGAGGGTGTGCCTTGGGTTCAGACAGACCAGAGGGCTCACAGCCAAGTTCTACCATATATTATATATATGCCCTTATCTTCACAGATGTAAAATGGGGATAATGATGTTGTGGGGGCCATTTGTCATTTTGATATGCAGCTTCCCAAATGGTAGTCCCATTATTACTGTTTACTGTAGAAGCCAAAGTAGAGAGTGATGTGGTAATTCCATTAATACTTTGCTACTGAAGGTGAAAGAGGGAAAGCCATTCTCTCTTGCCAGACCCTGACAGCTAGGCCGTAGGTGTGGGACCTAAGCATATCCTGTTAGATGCTGCCCACCACGAGCAGACAGGGATGATTCACGGAGCCTGCAGTGATGGTGTCCAATGCATGGCATCCTTAGCAGATCCCCCTGTGGCATGATCTTAGCTATGCATGGCTTCCTTTAGTTCTTTCCTGAGCCTGGTTCTTCAGCCTTCCTCTCAATTCCATGAGCTCCCCAAGACTATTCTGGCATGTCTATTCAAAGTATCTGTTATTGGCTGCTAAGAACCTTGAATAGAGTAAATACTTACCCCACAGTTTGTTGGAAAATTAAGAGGGATAATATATGTAAAGAGTTGAGCAGAGTGCCAGGTACATTGTATGGATCAATAAACTATAGCTACTATTATTATGCTCTTGTTATTTACCGATCTAATATTTACAATTTCAACTGGTCCTGAGCAACTTAAAGGTCTGTGATGTGGGATAATTTAAAATTCTGCCAAGGAACAAATTCGAATCCAACAAGTTGTTGGTACAGGAGCCATTTACTTAGCTAAGGAGCCTTACAAACCATTCAGTATTGACTTAGTGTCACTATGGCCATTCTCTACTCATCAGACCAGTAAGTCAGGACCCGTTCGGGAAACAAGAATCCATTCCATATAGTTCAATAGAAGGAATTCAATAGAGAGAAGAAATTATACGCAGGTGGGAAGAGCTAAAAGTCCTATTATGGGATGGTGACACAACTCAGATAATGGAATCAGTGGGAAGCTACATCCCTGGAGCTAAAAGAGCAAAGGGACCAAAGCAGAACCTGGGAGTCAGGACTGCCCTTAGGCCCTGAGACCATGGAACAAGGGACTGATGAATGGGAGGTAGAACCATAGAGGAGATAAGCCACTGCTGGAGAGTTTTCACAAGGAGTAGAAAGGGGAGGAGAAGGAGGGACAGGAGTGGGTTCTTCTCCCTTATTCCCATCCTCCTATCTCCCTCCAGGGCCTCATATCAGCCAACCTTGAAGCCAGTTGGCAGAGAGCCTGGGAAATGTTTCCAGGGATCAGTCCTGGAAGACAGAGCAGAGCAGGGGAAGGGAAGAGAAAGGACCTCCAAGCAAGCGGGGAAATAACCAGATAACCAGTACAGTGAATTTCACCAAGGGTAAGAAAGGATCATTTACATTTTAAAAAGTTTTATCTGATGGCGCTTTATTAGAATGACATTCTAGATTGATATTTGTTAGTTGGGGCATTCAGGAACTATCCCAAGAAAATGCCGTGGGTCTGCAATAATCCCTCATTCAACAATTATTCATTCATTAAATTAGCAACTACGGACTAAGTGCCTAGTATGACCTAGACATTTTGCCGGGTGCTGGAGATAAAAAAAAGTTAAATGAGACACAATTCCTTTTCATAAAGCTGCATTTTAGTAGGGGAGCCCTTCTTACCATTCTAGTACAGTGCTTGGCACTATGATGAATTCAATAAATATTTATTTTATGAATACAAATGAGTAAAGAATATATCGGTTAAACACCTCACCTCCACCATTGTACTAAACATTGTTACCAAGGGGAAGAAAGGTGAATATGTGGACTATAAATGAACTTTTAATTATGAGAGGAGGGTGAAAGGGCTAACAAAAGTATTGCAATTGGAATATGATTCTCTGCTTTTACATATTCAACTTAATTTAAAGAAATATTTATTGAGTGCTTCTTAGGTGCTGGATATCAGTCGTTGCAAGGAAAATATCAATGAACAAAAAGCCGTGATCTTTCCCCTAATGGAATCACAGTCCAGTGAGAAGATAGGCCAAGAAACGGGCTATTTTACTATTCTGTGACAAATGCTAAGAGCACAGGTATAGAGCCAAACGGGCAGATCTGGTTTCTAATCCCTGCTCTGTCACTTATGAGCTGAGTGATTTGGGGCAGGTTAATTCAGTTAAGCTCCAGTTTCGTCTGTAAGATGGGCTAGTAATACCTTCTTCTTAGTATTAAGCACATGAGATAATGTGTGTGTCTAATCATGTGCCTGACATAGTTGGTGCTCAATAATGTTAGCAATTATTGTGCAATTGTTGGATTTACTATTTACTATTGGTTCAGATATTTTACAGTTTTGTAAAGGTAGATATAAATTTACTGAAAACCGATAACAGCATGGAAGATTCTTGTTCATTACCAATACAAATGAAATTATTTCTGTTCCATAAAGATAACCCCAAAGGTTACTGTTTATTGCCCTGTAAAATATTAGCCGATTTTGTATCTAATCCAATAATCTTATTCTAAGATTTTTTTAAACGCCTGCTTTGTTTTGTTTTGTTTGAGCTTCAGTGCGTGGTTGTGTATCCTAGTTGTTAGTTCTCTATATGAGCTGCCGCCACAGTGTGACAACTGACAGACAGGTGGTGTGGTTCCACGACCAGCAAATGAACCCGGGCCAGGGAGAACGCTGAATCTTAACCACTAGACCACCGGGGCTGGCTCATAAATGCCTTTCTTGCTAGGATATATAAACCTCTGTTCCTCAAATGCTCCTTAAATCGCCTTTATCATTTTACTGGCTACCCCTTTAGTTAATAAAATGAATACCTTTTTTTAAACCTATGTATGTTCTATTTTACAGAATCATGTTGTTCAACTTCTTGCAAATTGAATCTTGATAAATAGAAGTCAATCCACGTTGTCATGGAGGAGGAGCATGTGATCTGGAGCTGAGGACCAGGTAGGGCTTCCAAGAGAAATTGGTATCTAAGCAGACATGGGTAAAAAATTTTCGAGGGACCTCAATAGATTAGATGTGAGCCCATGGATATGGTATTTGGGTTAAATTCATTGCAGAAAAAATACTGGAGATGTTAGCTGAACTGACTTGGAAGAAATTCAGCACTGCTTAGCCAAAAATCTGGATTGGTTTAAACTATTTCAGTGGTGCTTTTATAATTCTCAAAAATGACAGTAAATGGCTCACTTTGGTATATGCAAACTGTGGGAGATTCATTATTCCTATTAAATGAGGTGAGGAATTCACTGCAGTTCCTAGATCTAGGGTGACAGTCCTGAGAGATTTCCTCAGGGGCCCAGAACTGGAACATAAACTTGGTGAAGAGGGCACTGCAATGAGTGGGTTTCAGCCCACAGGTGTGTTTTGTTGGAATTTGCATGCTGCAGACCCCGTGTCTCTTGCACGTGGCCTATGGCATTCATTTACATGATTCACCTGGCCCTTTTGGCATTTGCGTTATCTCCATGAAGGAAACAAGGGCCCTTACCATTATTTTCATCTATAAGATCTGCTAAGCATGACTAGATAGAAAAACAGACGTCAGGCGAGCTTTGAAAACGTGTATCACACATACCATGTAATGATGTGATTACATGAAAGTCACTCATTTTAGACTACTAGTTCCTGGGGATTAAGGACTGTATCCAATTCATAACTATCAAGACAAGCGGTTTGATTGTCCAAGGACTGCACCCGGAGGCTCATCTCAGGTTGCCTGTGAGCCCACTGGGATTTGGGGGGTTCTTCTCCACCAGCAGTGGAGGTTGTGCCCAAATTCAACTTTTCATGAGTGCCTCAGCTCTCCAGGCTGGGCCACTAGTGTTTACTGTTGCTCTCTTCGACAGCTGCCTCCTACTAGCAGACTGCCTGGTGGCCGTGGTGAAGACCACCATGTTTCTTCCAGGCAAGGTCATTCTCATGCTTGCTCTGAAAAAGGGGGGAATACCAGGGGTGGGGGTTTGTCTTCTGCAGCACATTTCTGAAGCATGTTGGGCTGTGTCCTCACCCAAGTGTACCTCTCTGTATATGCCAAGAGAACAGGAGGCACTTCTGCCTGTGCATTGAAGCCTGCACTAAGCGATGCTTGCTGTTGTTTGGCCCAAACCCTTGTCAGACAATAACCCTCCATACCCATCTTTAAATTAATCTATATTCTTTCACACAGTGCCTGTCACATAGTAGGTACTCAATATTGTGCATGCTGATCCATAAGACGACCTTACAGGCAAAACTTCTAAATATTGGTTGGGAGGGCAGAAAGCTAGTTGGTAGGGAAATCACTGATGTGGAGGAAAATTAACCCTGACAAACTTTAAATTAAACTTTCTTTTCTTCCTTTTGCTTTGCTTGAAAACCAGGAAATATACAAGGTAGTCAGAGAGATCAGAAAGCTAATTGTGAAAATTAAGAGGGAAATTTATTCCCTTATCTCTGTCCCTTTTAAGAAGATCTGAAGCTACATGGGAGCTAACTGCAGAGGCTCTTGTGGAAAAGCTAGATGGATTTTTCTGGAGCTAGGAAAAGCTGAAACAAACTCCAGTTAAAGTAAAGATCGGTTAGGATTTCCCAGAACTTTGTGAACACCAGTGTTTAAGCAGTGGTTCAAACAATATAATTATTTATAAAGACACATGATCTAAGCATTTCCTTTGGGAGTTAGTAGCAGGGGTTGAAGAAACTAGCATAATTGAAATTAGCATAAAAGGCGGTGGATTTATTAAAATAAACCTGGATTTGAATTGAAGCCTTACCACCTGTTAGCCTTACCACAGTTAGATATGAACATGTAACTGAGTTCTGGCCCGTGGAATGAGGGGGAGTGATGGGTGCCACTTTCCAGACTGGCCCTTAAACACCCTTCTCCCCATCCGTGGACTGTGTGCAGATAATGTAGAGGCCCGAGAAGCCAGAAATCATGAGACAGAAGGAACTAGGGTCCCTGGCTGCCTGCTGGCCAGGAATACCCATTTGAACTGAGCGAGAGCGAGAAGTAAGCCGTTACTTATTTTTTTTACTTTATTCTTTTTTGGTGAGGAAGAGTCACCCTGAGCTCACATCTGTGCCGTTCTTCCTCTGTTTTGTATGTGGGATGCCGCCACAGCATGGCTGATGAGTGGAGTAGGTTCATGCCTGGGATCTGAACCTGTGAACCCCGGGCCCCTGAAGCAGAGCATGAGGACATTTAACCACTTGGCCACTGGGCCGGCCCCAAAGCTGTTATTTAGATTTGGGGCAGTTGGCTTCACCCTCATTTTATATATATATATATATATAAAATATAATTATATAACTATATACTTTCATTTATTATATATAATACATAAAATACATATATAATATATTCATTTGTAATGTATCATATATAATAAATATATAATCAACTACAGTATGTACCTTCATTTATTATATATGATATATAATTATATATCATATATAATAACATAACATATATAGCATATATAATATGTAATAAATATATAACATGCTTATACTGAGCCATTACCATGTGTCAAGCACTATCCTAGGCACTAGAGATACAAGATAGTCAAGGGCCCAGGCCTCAGGGAGCTTACAATTTAGGAGGGAAGACAGATAATAATTCGCAAATATATACCATGATTTTAGGTAGCAATAAGCGCTATGGAAAAAATAATGCCCAGAAAGGGGACTGAATGTGATGGGGGGAGGTGGATGGAAGAATGGTCAAGGAAGGCTTCTCAGGGGCTCAGCCAGTTGTTAAATGAGCGACTCTCACCGCTAACTTCTATGCACTGCTTCATAACGCATAAAAAGACTGAGGCTGAGACTCTGCAGTCTACGTGTCTCCCTTGCTAGGGGCTTCTCGTTAAGTCTCATAATTGGGGACTGGGGGTGTGCACTAGAAGGAAGGAGACTGTGAGGCTGGAGAGAAAAGAGGACCTTGCTCCTCAGCAATGGCCCATTGCCTTGGCAGCCTTCAGCCTTTTTTCCCTTGGGCATTCCCACGACCAATCTCATGATGTCCCTCAATGGGTGCCCCGGCAGCCAGCCAGCCCCTCATCTGAAGTCTAGGTCTCAGCTCTGTGGGCAAAGTCAATAGGCTTGAGGTCCTGTGGGAATGCAGATTCAGTGGAACTGGGACACCAGAGGAAGAAGAAAGATAGGAAGTAGTGATCTAAGAATGGGCTGCTTGATTTTATACTTTGGAGATGGTACCCTTATTGTCAAGGACCCAGGCTAGGGCAACACTGCCTGATAGAGCTTTCAGCAACGATGGAAACACTCTATAATCTCAATATACTCAAGTCACATGTGACTATGAGGAACTTAAAATGTGGCTAGTGCCACTGAGGAACACAGTGTTGAATTTTATTTCATTTTAATTCATTTAAATTTAAATAGCCAGGTTCTGATGGGATAGATTCACACAAAGAGAGAGAATTGCAAGACAGTATGATTTTAAAAGCACCCAGGGTGCTAAGGGAGCATAGAAGAGGTGCATTTAGGCTAATTTGAGAATTATGGGGGAGCCTCCCGGAAAACCTCCATGTTCCCAAATCCAGTGGTGAATCCTCAGTCCTCAACCTGCTTGATCTCTGTATGGTGTACATCACAGTTTGAACGCTCTCCATCTTCAAACACGTTCTCTGCTTTGTTTCTGTGCATCAGACTCTCCTACTTCTCTGACCATTCCTTCTCAGTCTTCGCAGGTTCTTCTTCCCCTGATGAGCCCTTTGGATGATGGCGTTCCTGGAGGGTATGACTTGTCCCTCTTTTGTTCTCAGTCTGCCCACATCTCCTCAGCAGATGCCCTCGTCCCCCTCCATGACTCCTATAACTATTTGTGTACTAGCCTCTTCAAATCTAAACCTTTCTACCTTTGAGTGGATGAGGAGCTGAGAGTCACAAAACTGGTTTTAATCGTCTCATTTGCAAGTCGTATATAAGTAGTCTGACATCTCTCTTAGGAGCCTGGGAGTGTTGTCACTCACTTTCTTGGGATCTCAGATGATACCATTGCTGTCTCATTTATATATCCTGTTACATCTGTTCCTTCCACTGGACCTTATGCAGGTAAGGGCTGCATTAGTTTTCTTCACGATTGTCTCTCCAGTGCCTCGTGCAGCATTTGGTGCATTATTTGCTTCCTTTTGTAGATGAATGAATGAGTGAATGAGCTGCCCTAAAGCTGAGTCCTGAGGGATGAGTTAGCTAGAAGAAGAATGGGAGTGTTCTGGGTAAAGGGATGGCATGACAGAAGTCACAGAGGTGAGAGCAGTGTGTACCTGGCGGGGAAAAGCTGGATTTCAAGAGCAAGAGCAAATAGCTACCTTCCACATTATTTAGTTGATTTCTCTTTATACAATACTCACTAATCTACTTTTTCTTTATCCTATGGAAAATGAGGGAAAAAAGAGAAGACCAGCTTTTGGTCTTATATTTAGGTCCTGAAGCAATGGCTTTGTATCTAGTGGTGGAGCTCAGATATTCCTGCCCATCATATTTCTTTCCAGTTTTCCATGTTTTCCTGTATTTCCCAAGGAGGTGAGAGAGCTCCAGAGAGATCAGTGTCTCTGCTTCCATACCACCTTCCTCAAGGCCTCATATTTTGTATTCCTCCTCCTTCACTGACAATCAGGTTTCAAGGAAATACGAAGTTGTCCTCACAAAAATGTCAGAGAACAATTTTGTGAAATGGCATCATGCCATGCCCCTACTCAAAAACCATCAGTGGTTTCCCATTACCCCCAAGTAAAAATCCAAACTTCTTAACATAGATTTCAAGGACTTCATTGATTGGGCAGCAACCAAGCCTTTCTGCCATCTCTCTCGCCAAACTTTCTGTAGTTACTACAGCTGTGTAACAAATTAGTCCCAAAATTTAGTGGCATAAAACAACCTTTTATTATGCTCACAGATTCTAGGGTGTCAGGAATTTGAACAGGACTCAGAAGGGAAGGCTCATCTCTCTCCACTATGTCTGGGACCTCAGCTAGAAGACGTGAAGGCAGAGGATGAGCGTCATCGGCAGTTTGCACACTTGCCTGTCTGGCAGTTGATGCTGCGAAGATTCAAATAACTGGGGTCCTGGGGCCTCTCTCTGTGCCCTTTCCCTGTGGTCTCTCCAGACTGGTGACTTCAGCGTAACTGGACTTCTCCCATGTGGGTTGCCAATAATATGTCCTGAGAGAGAGAGAGAGAGAAAGAGAGAAAGAGAGAGAGAAAGAGAGAGGGAGGCGAGCCAGCTGGATACGGTATCACTGTATCACCTGTTCTAACCTGGCTTTGGAAGTCCCACAATCTCACTTCCACCACATTCTATTAGTTAGAAGCCCGTCATGAGGGCCGGCCCATATTCAAATGGAGGGGAATTAGACCCACCTTTTGTGGGAGGAGCTTCAAAGAATTTTAAGACATGTTTTAAAACTACCACAATCCCCACTTATGCTTTAGGGGCACCAAATCACCCATCGATCCTTGAATTTGTGGCCATGCTCTTACTTAAACACTACCCTTTTGTTGCAGTGCCATTGGTACCACAAGTTTACCTCCTAAATTTCTACTCACCATTTATGATTCAGCTTAGATGCCATCTGCATTGTAATCTTCTACAGCCTTACCTTTGGAAGTGATCACACCTTCTCTGTTCTGCCCAGGGCCCTATTTCAATTTTCCTTAGGCGACCTGAATACGTATTTGTTAAATGGATAAACAAAATAGCATAATAAAACGCCAAATGAGAAAGTGACTATAAGTGATATGTACAACATCTTTTTGAGTTTGCTTCTGTTTGTGTTCATTTTCCCCTCTGGATTTTTAGTGTCTTGAAGGCAGGGAATGAGTTTGACCTACCCTTGTAGCCACCTCCCACCCCTGCTTCCACCTCCAGCTCTCCCAGCAGTGCTTTGGCCAGAGTAGGCTTTCAAAGAACGTTCGTTAGATGAACGAGCCTGCCTGCCTCCCCCAAAACACGCACACATGCGCGCGCACACACACGCACACACACACACGTGTGCATATTTTGCTAATTTGCTCCTTTTCTATTAACCAGGTAATATTTGGTTTGAGGCACATTCGAGCAGTTGGAAGAGATCATCTCCAAATGCTGAAAGAGCATGAAATGCTCTTAATCCACCAGACGCCATAGGTCAGAGTGAATGGTATTTGTCTTGGCTACCCTCCAACCAACAACCACTTTCCTGGAGAAGGCCCATGCTGTCGTTCCAAACAGACAAGTGTCACCCTTCAGCCCATCCTTTCGAGCCCCTTCTTTCCCTGACTTTCTCTTCTCCAAAGGCAGAACTTTCTGGGCCACAGCAAACGGATTACCTAAGATCATTCTACTCATAGTAAATATCAGTGCTAAAACAAACAAACAAAAAACAACTCACTGTTGAGCAGTTTCCGATTTATAAATAAGAGATGTTCCGAAAATTTTCAGGGGATACTTTGCAAGCCTACCTCGTTGCACACATGAACCTAAAGTTCCTCAGGTGACTCACAAAACACTCTTCTGGCAATAATATCTCAAAATACTGATTAGTTGCCATGAAAAAAATGATACAATGCTAGTAAATAAACAGAACTGAAAAAAAAAAGTGGGCATAGTTTTTGAAACAACTCCAGCAGGCTGATGTTTGAGGGAAAAGCTCATTTAAGGAAAGAAAAAATGAGAATGTGGTTGCAGAATTTGGGGACACATACACTAAAGACTTTTTGACCCTCTGCAGGAATTTGAAGATTGACTTACCTGGTTCATTTTTATATCTAACTCTGATTCCCAACGCATGCTTTTTTTTCCCCGAGGTATAACCCCAAAGTGCCAGCCCTCCCAAGCTTATGAGTAGAAAAGGAAGTCACATTTCCTTTCTGTACTCAAACGGTGATCGCATAGGTGCCGACTAGCTGTGTTGCTGGAAACGTATCTCCTGGTTTTTTTTTTTTTTTTTTTTTCTTGAGGAAGATTAGCCCTGAGCTAACTGCCGCCAATCCTCCTCTTTTTGCTGAGGAAGACAGGCCCTGAGCTAACATCTGTGCCATCTTCCTCTACTTTATATGGGGGATGCCTATCACAGCATAGCTTGCCAAGCGGTGCCATGTCCATACCTGGGATCCGAACTGGCGAACCCCAGACTGCCAAAGCGGAACGTGCGCACTTAACCGCTGCACCACCAGGCCGGCCCCATGGAAATGTATTTCCTTTAAAGCATCCTCCAGTTACTCCTGAGCAGCCACATGTGCCTCCCACTTCCAAACACTGCAGAGCATCAGCCCTGCTTGTCCCCTCTGACTCAGATTCCTTGTGTGTCCAGGCCCCCTGCTTAAGTGATGCTTGGACACCTCTGCCACTATAAGCCATAGGTCAGTCAAGGTCCATGCCAAATGGCAACCTCTGGATGCTTCCAAACCTTCCAGACCTTGTGCTGGGCTCAGTGCAGAGGTGGGAGCTGAGCCCCCTCCCTGGCCCTGAACACACTCTCAGTTGCTCATGCTTGGAATCGAGATCTTTCTCTATCAGTTCCATCACAGTGTGGCCTCCTGGAGACACTTCTGTCGGTGTACAGACCAAGACCTTTACCACTCATCAGATTATTAATCAGACTTGACTCTTTATATTTTTTCTTCAGTGGACTGGAAAGAGAAGATGGCAGCCAAGATCTCCTAAAGATATTATAAGACCCAGAAGAGGAGTGGCAAGGAAGAAGAGGCTTTAAAAGGATGTGTGTCTTTGTGTGAATGTCCTATCTTGGCCATGGAGTGAGGTAGAGTCAGGCAAGTTACCATTAATTCATGCAGCAAATTTTTATTGAGCACCTACTGTGTGCCAGACACTGTTTGTATCCGGGGAGCCAAGCAGTGAACAAAGCAGGCAAAGTCCATGTCCTCAAGGAGCTCACATTTTAGGAGGGGAAGGCAGGCAGCACAGAAATAAATAAACAGATCCACATGAGAATTTCAGGTATGACAAGTGCTATGATGAAATATAAAGCTGGGTAAGGAAATAGACAGGCGGGGCGTGCTATTTTAGGGAGCCTGGTCAGGCAAGGCCTTAATGCTAAAGTTGAGCAGGAATATGAAGGAAGCATGGGCATAAGCCTGCAGGTGTCTGGGTAAAGAATGTTCTAGGGAGCAGGAATAGCAAGTGCAAAGGGCCTCAGGTGGAAGCACGCTGGCACACTTAAGGAACAGCCAGGGAGCAAGTGTGGCTGGAGTGTGGTGGGGAAGAGGGAGGGGGTGGGACATGAGATTGGAGGTCACCTGGGCCAGATCACACAGGCCAGAAAATGATGAGAAGCGACTGGAGAGAAGTGACAGGAAGATGTTTTGAAAGAATCCCCCTGGCTGCTGTGAAGATAACAGAAGAAAAAGAAGGAAGCAGGGAGACCCCTTGGGAGGCTCTGGCAGCAATTCAAGCTGGAGATGGTGCTGGTTGTCCTGAGGTGGTGCGGGTGGCCTCATCCCTGTGGAAAGAGCATGCCTGTGAATAGCAGTGGGGTGTGCCCCTCTTGAATCCTGTCCTGGGGACATACCGGGAGGTACAGCTTTCTGTCTCCCGTGTCTGACAGTGAGAAGGAGATCACCTGGTATGGATACACTTGAATGCTAAATGAGGAAGAACACAGTGCCATCAAAGGCCGTCAGGAACATCCCCAAATGCAACCTGAGGCTCTGGTGTCTCCTTGCAGTTAATGTTTCCTTGCCAAGGGAACAAATGGGACTAGTGAATGACAACCATTGCTCTTAAGGAAGGCACGCCAGGACGACTGCCTCGGTTTAGTTTGGATGCTTTCAGCTTTGAGGAACAAAATCCAATTCTAACTGGCTTAACCAGTGAGCAAATCATCTCCCACAACAGGTCTGGGGGTATTTAGTTTGCTCCCGCATTCTGATACACATATCTTTGTACACAGAACCCCCTGACCTGCTCCGCTCTCTCTTTTCTCCCTTCTAGCATGCAAGGAAATGTGCTGACTTATCATGCTTATTACTATTGTCTTTCTTCTTCCATGAGAATGAAGCTCCATGAGGGCAGGCACCATTGTTTTGTTCACTTATGTATCCTAAGTGTCTACAGCAGTGCCTGGAACAGTGTAGGCACTTAATAAATATTTGTTGAACGAATGAGCAAAAGGATGAGATATTTTCCTTCAGATCCCAAATGAAACAAAGGAAGGTCATGATGGTCCCACAATTTCTCTCCTGGAGAAGTAAGAAAAAGTCAGGAAACTCCATTTGCAGGAACAGTTTCCTTGTGGTCTCCAAAGGGACAAGGTGTAAGCTACAAACCAAACCCGAAAATTCATTCAGCAAACAGACTGTTGTTTGTTCTCCAACCAGTGAATGAGGAATGCCAGGTTGAAGATAGTTCAAATAGTCTTCAGCCTTCACCAAGCGGTGGATATCACTGGACAATGTATTTGAGAAAGATTAAAAAGCGGATAGTCCCTTTGAGAGGTCTCAGCATCTCGACTTTGTGTCTTGACCAACAGCACCCTAACTTTGGCAGGCCCTACACGCATGAGAAAAAGAAGAAGCAGTCGGCACCATTCCCTTGGGACTGCAGTTCATTTTATTTCAGTGTCTGCTTATTAGGCCTCACTTTCCTATTTTTTGGGTACCGTGGAAGATTCTGGGAGACAACAATGACCAAGTTTAGTGAGGGAGCTAATTCAGTGCAGGAGACAAACATATAGACAGGTAATTATAATCAAATGTTATAGGTGTGGTATTGGATGTATATGCCAGGCATGGGTAGAAAGAAGTGATTAACTCCATGTGGGAGGGAACAGATAAGACTGCAGAGAAGTGGGGACTCTTAAGTAGGGTTTTGAAGGCTGAGTAGGAGTTTACCAGGCCAACATGGAATAGGAGAGGGCAGACTGACACTCCAGGGAGAACAACTGGCAGGTACAAAGATATGGATGTATGAAGCAGTGCTATGTGTTTAGAGAAACACAATTGGTTATGGACTGAACTACAAAGGAGGGAAGTTACCAAAATTGAGACTGGAGAGCTGGGGAAGGACCAGAGTATTAATACTTTGTATGCTCTGATAAGGGGCTTGAGGTTTATTTTAGATGGTGAGTTTTCATGAGGAGAGTGAGAAGATCAGATTTGTGTTTAGAAAGTTCTCTCTGGCATCCAGGGGCCAGATGGTTGAGAAGGGCTGGCAGAAGTCAGGGAGACTCACTTGTGTGGAAAAAATAATCAAGGTTGGCAGTTTCCTACACTGCCCACCAGGTGGAGCAAGTAGGCCAGAACAGCCTGGTTGCTGGCTGGGGGGTAAGGAGAGAGGATACAACCAGAGAAAGTACCAGCAACGGGCTGTTTGCGTGAGCAGGAGGCTCCTAAGTCAGGTGCTCATAACTCTGGAAATAACTGTATTGATTAAAAAAATTCTCCAGCAAAAAGTGGAAGTCACCTAAATGTCCACAAAAAGAGGACACATTAAATATCACAAAACATTCACCTACTGGATGACAAGGAAGCCATTTAAAGGAATGAGGTAGCTTTGTGTGTTCCTGCATGAAAAAATGTCCGAATGGAAAGCGTAAGTTGTAGAAGAGTGTATAATATGACCTCTGTTGTGCAAATGTCTAGAAAGATGATCATAAAATTATATCAGTGAGAGTTTCAACAGGGGATTTTGGGGCCATTGACTTTGTGTGTGTGTGTGTGTCTAACAGTTTTATTGAGATAAGTTGGCATACAATAAACACACATATTTAAAATGTACAGTTTCGTAAGT